CTTTCTCGCCCCGGAGCTCGCAGGTAGCAATCCGCTACCTCGACCTCCGGGGCGAGAAAGCCCCGTTCGTAAGTGCGGATCTGACGTAAGTCGGATCTGCGTAAGTCGGGGACTGCCTGTAGTTACTTCTTTCCTAACTTTTTTCTCCTTCCCTACTTCTTAGGGACAGGGGGACATGTTAACATCTATTGTTTTGTTTTTGTTTTTAAGTAAAATCCATATGAATCTCTGACTGTGACCAGTGTTGTGCTACAAGAGAATTTGTGAACCCATTTCTGATAGTAACAGATAATGATCATGTATTTGCATGTGTTTGTACAGCACCTATCATAGTGAAACCCTGATTCTGAATGGGGCCTCTTAGGTCTCTTGTAATACAAATACTTGTACACTTCTTGGCATTATTGTGAGGAACTGGCTATTCAAGTAACCACTTTACCACCTTCCTTCACCTTTGGAATTCTCTGCTGAACTGTACAAACTTAGAGCCTTTCTTTTGCAAGGAATGGAAGGGATTCCCCTTTTTTGAAATTTAGTTTTCAGTTTTTGTTCAATCTGTCATTTTTCATGAGAATTAATTTAAAAATACAACATTTTTGTATTAAATTAAACCACTGTTGTTTACTGAATTCCAATGTATATTTGTTTGCTTTCCAAAGGGTGCTTCTCAAGGTAAGCAAAGCCTATGATGTTTAAGGCTTTGAATATTCAAGAAGTTGTTGTGCCTTACCTTTCTCAGGCAAAAACAGAATTAAAAAAAATATCAAGAAATCAAGACTTAATTCTAACCTACATTCAATTCTTACAATTCATAGTACAGGCAGTCCCCGGGTTACATGGATCCGACTTACATCGGATCCCTACTTACAAACGGGGTGAGGCAACCCCGCACTAGCTGCTTCCCCCCAGCAGACCAGGGAGACGCGAAGCTAGCGCCCCTCCCCAGCAGACCAGGGAGATGCGGAGCGGCTTTTCTCAGCAGACACCTCAGCTTGAGAATAAAGGACTGAGGGAAGTGAGGTGTGGGAGAATAAAACTGACCTCTGGAGAAATGTTTAGCTAGAGTTTCCCCTACAATATGTACCAGTTCCGACTTACATACAAATTCAACTTAAGAACAAACCTACAGTCCCTATCTTGTACGTAACCCGGGGACTGCCTGTAATGCTGATTTTACATGTAAATGGGCCCAGACATCACTGAACACCCAACATATGTAAGTAGCAATACCAAGTTATTCATTTAGGAAAAACTTTAAAAATGACAAATAATTTGGTAGCACTTTAAAGACTAACAAAACATATAGATGGTATCATGAGCTTTAGGGGGCACAGCCCATTTCTTCAGATGACCAGAGTGTTGGATATCCAGAACCAAGAATACAAAAAAAAAATAGTGCTACCAGATTATTTATTGTTTTTTAAGTTTTTCCTGTTACAGACTAACTCAGCTACCCCTTTGACACTTTTATTCATTTAGGGCAGTGGTTATTAACCTGGAATTGTATGAGTCCCAGAGAGGGAGGGGTTGTCACAGGACAGGTTTAGGGAGTTGCAAGTCCAGGGTCAGCATGAGCTTTAGAGGGTGATAAGCAGAGCAGCTGCCCCGGGGCCCACTCTGCAGCTAAGTTACATGCTTCACCCCACTCCTTTAGAGCAGGAGGCTTTGGCCTCAGGGTGGAGTACTGCAAGGTATAGGATGACCCTGAAACTCACTTTTCCCAGGAACTGAAATTAGAATGGATTCGAATTGGGGGAGGGAGGAATTTTTACAGTGAGGTGAGACAGCTATTGAACCAAACCATAATGCATAGATGTAATGGAAACCCGTTAAACTCAGGAGCTGCAGCACCTGGAGAATAAAACGAAATAACTAAATTGGCACCACTGCCTAAGAGTTGGCCATTGGGAGGAAGAGATGGGGAGTCCAGGCCCTGCGAGGGGAAGTCCCTCACTCCCCAGGAGCTGCTGGTGCTGGGCTGTCATGGGCAGGTCAGAAGGAACTCCACACAACTGTGCCACGGAGCCCTTTGAACACTCCCAAAAAAAAGAAATCTAGTCACATTATTAAAAACACACACACACACACACACACACACACACACACACACACACACAATCCGTTTCGCTCCCTGGGGTGATGTGCTCAGAGCACGCACAAGGATTATACTACGGCTTTAAATAGAAGTGTCTCCTCGAAACCTCCCTTATTTCAGTGACCTCCCCCCCACGGCAATGCCCCGCTCTCTTCTCCGAGAGCCAGTCTGGCGGGCGTGGAACCCCTTCCTGCCGCCAGACGCAGCCTGCGCGAAGTGGGCCCGGCTGCCGGGCCAGCTGCCCCCTATGCCCTGGGCTGGAACCGGTTTCCCGCGTCCCAGGCCGGGCACTGCAGGGACCAGCCCTCACGTGCCCCGCCGGCGCGGGCTCCCGGGCCCCGAGGAGCCAGGGAACAGGCTCAGCCCTGAGGGAGGTCTTTGAGCTGCCTCGCAGCGGGGGAACAGCAGGCTCCGGCAGCCAGACACCGAGCTCCAGCTCCCTCCTGGAGCGCCCGCCCGGACTTACCTTGCCCCGCGAGCAAAGGCAACAAGCTGAGGGGTAGGAGCAGCGGCAGCAGCCGGGTCCCGCGCAGATTCTCCATCGGCAGCTCAGGGACGACGGACCAAAACTGGGCTCGACTCTGCTGCAGCGCCCAGCCGGCTCCCCCGTGAGTGGTAGCCCGGCCGCCTGAGACTGGTTGGGAAGGACACCTCCCCCCCCGAGCGGGCGTCCCAGCAGTCCGGGAATTCACTGCCTGCCCTTTAATGAGACCGCCTGCAAGCGCTGCACAACAGCCGCCGCGGTAGCCTGGAGGCAGAGCCCCTTTCGAGCTGGGACCCCCTTCCCTTCTGCCCCGCTCTACAGGCTCAGGAGACTTTGCAGGCACCGAGTAGGAACCTAGCGGCCAATTGTTTGGTTCCAAGACATGGAGCAAATTCTCTGGATGTCCAGTTGCAGGCGAAATCCGCGAACAAATGCGGAAAACCCAAGAAAACCACCTGAGGGGGAGGGGAAGAGTTAAAACTCTGGGGGACTCTGGAGACTTCTCTCCCCCCCCCTTCCGTCTGTGATTTTCCTCCAATCACAATGTTGTTAGTAAGAAGCGTTTAAACAGCAAAGCGCCTCTGATATTTTCCCAAGTCTCAGTGAAACTCATTTAAAAACGAATCAAGGTGTCAGTCTTATTTGCAATAAAACTGGTCCGCGCTGTGGCATACCAATGCTATCTAAAAAAGGGGGCTCCTTATCTTATTTGAACAGGGCACACACACTGTAATCTTTGGTCAAAGGACGATCTAGGGTTGATTGAATGCATCAGCCTGCGGGGTTACTGGATTTTAAGATAGCCTGGTAACATGTTATCAGAGAGCCAATGGCACACAGGGAAACGAGTGGGGAAGAGGTTGTCCTCTTCCACATTTTGACCTCTCTTCTGCAAACACTTCAGCCTGCCCCAGCTTTCCTCACATGAATCCTTGAAAGTCAGTGGTTTGTGAGATGGGGGTCTGCAAGTAGATCTAGAATCACTCCCCTTGAATCGAAGGATACAATGAGCTTGGGAGAAGGAATTGTTTTATGCCACGTACGCTACTAAGCAGTTACACGAATGGCCATACTAAAGTGGGACTTTCTGCATTAAGGCTGGCCCATGTAGGGCATTCACAATGTAGTCCTTTACACTTTCTCCTCAAAATGTAGTGATCCCTCTTGCCCCGGAACAAAGTATTTGACAGAGCAACGTTTACAAATGTCCCTTGCTTCTGGCCTTTTGTTTCTTCCTTCTTCCTGTCACTGTCTTTCCATTCTTCTTGCTGTGCCTTGCAAAAGCTTTGCATTTCTCTCATTTCCCCTTATACCTAATTTCTGACCCCATCTTTCCTCTCTCCCTCTCTTCTTTGAAGTCTCAGTCCACTCACACTGATTTTAATTATGATTGGATTGGAAACTTTCAGAGGAGATTCACTTTGGGGCAGTGCTTCTCAACCTGAGAAGGTAGCTGCAGGACAGGTTTTGGAGACTTACAAATCCGGAGACAGCATTTGAATGCAAAAAGGACAATTGCCAAGCAAAAGCCCTTTATATGTTGCAAGGGCTGCAGGGAGCAACTGACTAGGATCACACAAAGCTTTGTGTACAGCTTACACAAGTTTAATTCAAGAGCACAAGCCACCACCCCACACACACACACACCTCCCTGTAGAAATTATTTTCAGTTCAATAGGGGCTTGTTTTATTTTACCTTAAGCCTGCTCTTAACTGATTTCAACTAAACAGAAAGGAAGCTTGATATAAACCAAAGTAAGTGTGTCCACACAGCCATTTGCAAAGATGGACACAAAATGTTTGTACCTATAGCTACATCCTTAGCTGCAAAAATGAGCCACAGGTATCTGCAGATGTGGATACCCATGGATATAAAGCCAATATACATAGATGTTCAGTGCTCTATTTATAACATATTAGAAGACTTATCGGGCATTGCCCAGGTTCTTCAGGGCAGGGGCTGGTGATGTGGGGGTCCAGGAGTCAGGGCAGGGCTCAGGGGAGCGGGACTCAGGTTAAGGGTTGGGAAAGCCACTGGCTTCTCCCTGGGGATTGCCTGGGATGGCAAGGACTGTGCAGCCTGCCTGCTGGGGGGGGGGGGGGGGGGGGTGCCCAGGCCAAAGGGGGGGGGGGGGGCACCCCACCTGATGGCTTGTCCCTGGGGGAAGGGTGAGTCCACACCCTGGTCACCGCTTTGTCCTCAGGGGCCTCCCACCTTGGGTGCTGCGGCTGAGGTTGCAATAGAGGTCACTGCACATACACGCACACACTTGGCAGTTCACGTGCATACTACCCCAAATAACTGGGCTGTATGTAGATGAAGTGAGAAAAGGTTGCAGAGTAGGGTTGCCAATCAGACCTGCCAACAGAGGGAAACAGAGGGGGCAATTGCTCCAGGTATGGACAGCAAATTATGAGAGTCCTTAGTGCCAGCACCTGGAATATTCCTGGCCCAGGGCTGGACTCTAGCAAAACTCGTCATCTGCCACCCCCTGTGTTCTCTGCCCCCTGCATACCACAGCCTCCCTGCCACCAACACTGGCAACACAGCAGCGTTAGCTCAGCTTCTTGATGCTCGCTCCCCAAGGCTGCTAGCATGTACTTCCCTATGTCTGGGGGGAAGGGGTGAGCAGTGTCTCCATGCCATGCTCTGATCTGAGGAGCTGGAACAGAGAAGAGCATGGAGACATGCCCACCTCCAGGCCACAGGGATGTATACGTCACTCTAGCTCCACTGTGCTGCTGATGGGGCCCTCCAGGGCATTTTCAATCACGGGAGCAGCAAGTGGATCCAGGGGAGGCATGGAGGCAGGGGGATGGACATACAGGTACAGCAGGTGAGCAGGAGCACCCAGAGACCCCTGCACTCCCAGAAGCCACTGTCAGAGGGGGGTGCCCCCAGGTAAGCATGGGCACCTCACTCCCTCCACAGTCAACACCCTCTCTGTCTCCCCCACCCAGTCCCCAAACTCCCTACCGCTCCCTCCATCACCCAAACTCACTCCCAGGCTGCATCAAGGACCAATGTTCCCTCTAATTTTTTCCATCTATGTGCAGAATAAATTTTGTTATGTTCACCAAGGCATGTGCAAATGTGCTGCCAGCTATGGGGGGCTGTGGATACTCTGCTAACCAGTTGAGCAGCATTTGAATATTCCCTTCCAGGGGATACTGCTGAGGACACCCACTCCCCGGCTCAAGCCAGAGCCAGCACCCAGACTCCTTCCTAAAGCCTCACCTTTTGTCTCCCCGTGCACCTATTCCTGAACCCAAAGTCCTTTCCAGAACTTGCATCCTGCACCCCAATTCCCTGACTCCATCCCAGAGCTTTCACCCCAACCCCCACCTCCTCCCAATTCTGTTCCAGCCCAGAGCCTGCAACCAGCACCCAAACCCCTCCCAGAGCCAGCAGCCCTCCTTCACCTAAACTTCTTCTCAGAGGCTTAGGTAGGTGGTAGTGGGAGAGAGTTTGAATGTGGCAGGGCTGCAGGCTCTGGGCACCATCACAATTTCTGCAGAACTGCCACCATAGGGCCCAGTGATTCAAAATGGTCCGGGGCTCCCAGCTGCTGCCACTACTATTGCAACAGCTGTCAGAGCTCCTACTCCTTTAAATTGCTGCCAGAGCACTGCACAGCATGATCTGGGCAGCTCCAAGGTCTGGAGGGGTGGCATGGCATGGCACACTACACTCTGAGCAGTACTATGAGGGTTGGCTGCCTGCCCACAAACCCACCCCTTCCTCCCAACACCCCAGCCCATCTGGGAGCACAGAGCTACTCTCCCTGCTTCCCCACCTTGACCAGGGGCCTGGCAATTCTGTTAGCCCTCTTGTTGCCAACACTCCTGGCTCGGGCAGACAAGATTCCGTTGCCACAAATGGCATCTGGTGGGGAGAGTTGACTGCCCTATTACAGAGGTTACTTACAATTGCTAAAAGGCAGACCCCTTTGGCTACTACTCTACTTTAGGAGGCTAGACTATTGGCTACACCCCCATCACACCATTTGCCACAGTGCACTGTTTTCTAGCAGCTGTTTTCTAGGCTAAGGGTGTGACCGTCTATCTGTCCTACATAGAGACAATGTCTTACCAAAGGAAGAAGACCCTAATGCAGATGCTTCCCTACTGCTCCTCCTTCCCGTACATACATTGCCCTCACCTTTTGCATCAGAGTGAATTTCACAGTACCCAAATCAACTGTTATTGAGTAGCTGATCCACTCAACTCAGCTCTAAACCACTAAATGTGCAAACAAAATTCAAGGTGCACCTTCTTTCCTATTCAGTCTATAATACAAACTCTAAATCAACTTGAAATGCTTTTTCAAGTATTTTATCAGAAGCAACCATTTAATTATACTATCAATACATTTGTAGTGTACACAAGCCCACTTTTCAAAAGCATTTAGACATCTAACTTCCATTCAGGCACCTTTACTGGGAGAAGGGGGAGGGGCAGTTGTCCCAGGGCCTGGCAATTAAAAAGGGCCTGGGGCTCCCAGCTCCTGCTACCACAGGCGCTGTGCTGGCTGGAACCTTGAATCCTTTAAATCACTACCAGAGCATCATGTGGCACACTCTGGGTAGCTCTAAGGGCTGGTGGAGGAAGCACAACGTGCTCTGGGGGGCACTGATGGTGGGCTGCCCCCAGCCCTGTCCCTTCTAGGAATGCGGAGCTGTCGTCCCCCCCCGCACTTTACTCAGGGGCCTTGCAAGTCTGTCAGCTCTTTGCTTCCATAGCAATCATTTGAGCCTTAATCTTTTTCAATAACAGCAGCAGCTGTCTCTCATAAGCATCTAAATACTTACTCTTGTATACTCATCCCCTCCGATCTGGGGATGTAGAAAGAACTCTCAATGGGAGAAGAATATATTTGATTATATTCCTTCCCCATCTGCTTTTGTACCCTACTTTATTTCCTTAGATTGTAAGATCTTTGGGACCAGGACTATGCCTTCCTGAATTGCCCCATTTCTACAAACACATGGATAACTATACACATAGGAGTGGGGCTTGTCTTTGTGCAGCTCATAACACAATCCTGACTAGGACTTCCAGGGACTTCTACAATGCAAACAAACAAACAATAGGTGAATGAGATTTAAAAATGGAAAATAAAAAAATTGTGTGCGTTCCAGTGTAATTTGACTCAAAATGTCTATTTCCTAAGATGTGCCAGCTGCCAAAAATCCGGTGGCTCTTTGGAAGGCGAGGATGTTCAGAAGTACATTTGGGCTGATGCAGAAGTAAGAAAAAGGAAAAAATATTAACAGGCCTGTTAGCTGAACTCATGGAAATTGTTCCCTGCCAGCTGCTCCCAGTTCATGGACATAACAACAGCTTTGTGTACATAGCAAGTTGGGCAGCCATAAGTAAAGAAACTGGCTTATGGTATTTGGAATAGGGCTATAATAGCCTTTTGTTTTACATAAGAAAATGTGTGGGAGTTCTGTGTTCACTAGGAATAATCAGGTTAGACACCTTCTTCTCTCATAACAACTAGAAATTGCTAAAGAGCAGGATTCCTGATCTTTAATGATGTTTGACTGTAAGATCAGCCTCCTCTTCCCAGCATTTTCCCTATGCTTCTCAATGGTTAGGATGT